ACACTCCTGTTTGTTGATCTTCTGTGTTTACTTCTGTATTGGCGCCATTTCATTTTGTATTTTTTTTGTACATGTATTATGTATAAACTGAATGTAATTCAATTAAATAAATAACTAAATACATAATTTCATGATGATTCCTAGCCATTACCTAAATATGGAAAAGACCCTAATTTAGCAGTAAAACATCAAATTTTCCTGTTTTAGCGCTACCAGATTGTCCATGTCAGGTTATATGGATAATCCGTTATTTGGAGATGTTAATTTGTTAATATTAAGAAATTCGTATTGTAAAACTAAGTAAACATAAAATCCTCTGCGAATAGAGGGGTCTGTTCAATCGAGCTGTCCAAAAATAGAGTTTCTGCTGTATATGGGTACTCACAAACCCAAATATTTATTTATTTATTTATTTATTTCATTACTTTACAAACACCAAAAATAGTAATTACATGTAAAGTCAAAACAGTGAAGTGTAAAACACAAAAATAAAGATAGAGTACACAATATAAACATATGTGACTAATTTAAAAGGGCCTTCAATTGATTTAAAGTTACATTAAAAAGATCTACCTGGACCTCATTAAGTGCTTGGTTCGCAACTGTCATCATGCGATTAAATGGTGACTTATTATTACTAGGATCAGTACCAAAGTATTTCTTGTTTTTCATAATTCTTAAGTTAATCTTTGGTACAATTAAGGAGACATAGTTGATTAAATTACAATCCTTATACTTTAGGTTGTTTAAAATATAAAACAAAAATATCACAGCCTGATTATTCCTTCTTTCCACTCATGACTTTATCTCAAAACTAACAAGCATATCCCTGTAAGGAACCATATATGGGTAAATATTATTTTTAACCACATAGAGATACCGCAAAAATCTCTTCTGCACTTTTTCAATTTCATCAATATGCGTGGCTTCCAATGGCATCCAAATTCGTGATGCATATTCAAGGTGCGGTCTCACCAGAGCATTATACAAGTTAATAATTGTACTTATTTTAAAGTTCTTACTATTCCTGATTACAAAGCCAAGTGCTTTTACTGCTTTATTGACAACATGATGAAAATGCTTATTGAACTTCATGTTGGCCTGGAAAAAGACACCCAAATCCTTCACCTCTGTTTGACGATCAAGCTCAGTATCACCAATCTTGTATGTTTCTTCTATTGGGTTTGTTCGTCTCGTAAAGCTGACAACAGGACACTTATTAACATTTAGGGACATTCTGTTGTTGTTGAACCAGTCCATCACCCTATCCATGTCACCCTGAAGCCTTCTGCAGTCCTCTCGCCGCTCAACAATCCTACAGAGCTTGAAGTCATCAGCAAAAAGAAGTCCCATAGAGTCCCTCAGGCAGTCGGGCAATGAATTGATGAAACACAAAAAGAAAAGAGGGCCCAGTTTACTACCCTGCGGGACACCTGAGGTTGCAACAAACGCCTCAGAGTTGCAAGCGCCGACCCTTACTGTTTGGACCCTGCCTATGAGGTATGACCTCACAAGATGGTAAGCATCCTCTGACACCCCAAACTCAGCAAGCTTGCAAAGCAGCAACTCATGGTCCACTCTATCAAAAGCCTTCTCACAATCTGTGTAAATGACATCCAACTCTCTCTTATTCGCGATCGCCTCAGCCGCCATTTCCGAGAATACAGAGAGGTTTGTTATTGTTGACTTATCATTTAAGAATCCATGCTGGTATTTAGAAATTTTAGGTTTTAGAAAGTCTGAAAGATCATCATAAAGTATTGTTTCAAAAATTTTTGCTAAAATATTAATACAATTAAAATACACAAAAGCTTGGCAAAATTCTCAATGAATAGTAAATAAATACCAATACGAAAATAAAAATAGATAACATAAATTAAATCATAAGTGGCTGACTATTGGAAGTCTCAGGAGAAGTTACCATATACAAAAATGTTAGGGTTTAATATTATTTGGAGGCCGGTGTTACCCAACTTATTATATCTTAATTCATATTTCTTAATACATATTTCTGAATTCATAAATCGATAGCTAATATTCTACAGAATTAAGAATTAAGCACTAAGAAATAAGAATTTCGAAATTAAAAATCAATGAGTTGGGTACCTAACACCAGCCGCGATTGTATTTGACTCACCTCTTGTATGGGGAAGATATAGTTAATTTGAAAGGACTTTATATAATCACTACCTGTAATTTTATTTATCTAAATGAAAAATTCAATAATTTATTTGTCTCCCATGTATATGCAACTAGGGGAAATATAAACAACTTGGCCAGCATTTTGTTTCATATATAGGGCCTATATTGTATAATCTCATCCCTGTTCATGTTCAAAAAACTACAAAAATGAAAATTTTCAAAAAATTGCTTAAGGCTTATTTTCTGTTGAATTGTGACATGTCACATTTTCTTGAAGGCTTGATTGCTTACTTTACACCTGTTTGATTGTTTAGGTATGTTCGTGTGGTAGGTCAGTTATAAGTAACACCTTTTGGTTCTATAAAATTGTAAAAAAGGTAAATTTTTGAAATCCATGTTACCTATGTATTGGTATCTTTTTAGCAAGCTTTTTAGTTAAAAAAATAAATAAATAAGTCTGTGATACTATTCCTTTGAGATATGCACATACAGGTATTTTATACCTAGGTGCAACTAACAGGGTGTCCCACAATCAGCGTTACAGGCTAAACCTTTCTTATTTTTAGAAATAAAAATTTGAAACAAAAAAAATTACTAGTGGTCTCTTCAAAAATATAAAAAAATCTTCCCCAGATAAAATCATCCCCTATTCACAACCCTTGACTTGTTTTTTTCAAATGGCACCCCTATTATTTATTTTTATTTTTGAGAAGCTCATGAAATTGCAAATTGCAAATTCAATGTTGTATGAAAAGTTTGTTTTTCCATGTTTTCTTGGAAAAAAAAATTTAAAAATGAAAATAATAATAATGGGGTTCTATTTGAAAAAAAAAGGCAAGAGTTGTTTTAAGGGGATGAGTTTGTTAGGGAAGATTTTTTAAATATTTTTGAAGAGGGGTTAATTTGCACACAGTTAATTTTTTTTTGTTATTTTTGTATTTTTGTTGACAAAAAAGTGATAGCTGTATAAGGCTAATGGTGGGACATCCATTTTTTTTCCCCAAGAGACATGGAAAAACAAACTTTATACACCAAAAGATAAAAAAAATATACAGGGTGTCCCACAATCAGCGTTACAGGCCATAACTTTCTTATTTTTAGAAATAAAAATTTGAAAAAAAAAATTGACAAATGGTTAGTTAAGCTCTCTTCAAAAATATAAAAAAATCTTCCCCTGACAAAATCATCCCCTATTTACAACCCTTTACTTTTTTTTTTCAAATGGCACCCCTAATTTTTTTTTTTTTTTGAGAAGTTCATGAAATTGCAAATTCAATGATATATGAAAAGTTTGTTTTTCCATGTTTCCTTGGAAAAAAAATTCAAAAATGAAAATAATAATAATGGGGTTCTATTTGAAAAAAAAAGCAAGAGTTGTTTTTAGGGGATGAGTTTGTTAGGGAAGATTTTTTTAATATTCTTGAAAAGGGGTTAATTTGCACACAATTAATTTTTTTTTGTAATTTTTTTATTTTTGTAGACAAAAATGTGATTGCCTGTATAAGACTAAGGGTGGGACACCCATTTTTTTTCCCCCAAGCGACATGGAAAAACAAACTTTTTATACACCATACAAATTTGTAATATATGGGTGCCATTTGAAAAAAAAAAGTCAAGGATTGTAAATAGGGGATGATTTTTTCAGGGGATGATTTTTTTATATTTTTGAAGAGAGCTTAATTAGCCATTAATAATTTTTTTGTTTCAAATTTTTATTTTCGAAAATAAGAAAGTTATGACCTGTAACGCGCTGATTGTGGGACACCCTGTATATGGGTGCCATTTGAAAAAAAAAGTCAAGGGTTGTAAATAGGGGATGATTTTGTCAGGGGAAGATTTTTTTATATTTTTGAAGAGAGCTCAACTAGCCATTAATATTTTTATGTTTTTTTCAAATTTTTATTTCTGAAAATAAGAAAGTTATGGCCTGTAACGCTGATTGTGGGACAACCTGTATATAGCCAAAAAAAAAAGTGATATTCTGTTGAAAATAGGATTAGTATTGAACTGTTACATTGTGATTGTTGTTGTTGAAATTGAATTGAGTTTTGTGGAGTAATAAAAAGCAAAATAGGGAAGCAATCACACACAGACATACGTCCATTGCAGCCCCAACAATATTATTAGTTTGACATGATATTTATCATAAAAACAAACAAAATAAAGCAAAAACTCAAGAAAAACAATGGAATTGAACGGAAACTTGGCAACGATGTATCTACCAAATCTCAAATTATCAACAAAATAATTTTTATAAACAAGTATTTAAATTATATAGGAGCATAAATCCTAAATTTATTGTTTAAAAATACAAAATATTTACGGAGACCGGAATATTACATACAAATTGAAAACAAAGTTTTGAATGGAATACCTATTTGGATTAGAGAAATAAAAATGGCGGCAATGGATTCATGCAGAGCCAAGTTGAATCCCATCCGCAAAACGAGAAAAACTTTATCGACCTTGAAAACATTTTCCCGCCAACAATTTTTCATTAAAATTTTCATAAAATTGCATCAAAAAATGTTAATAGTCGTTAATATTAAACATCCGATTCGATAATATTATGCTTTAAGACCTAAAAAACCCTTGGGTAACGAAAAATTCTGAAAAAATCATTGTCTACGAATTGACTAAAGTGTTCATTATTTTAGGACAGTTTTGCTAAACAAATAGAGTAACGACAATTCCCATTGGAATTCTCTCAAATTCTATGAATATTACAAAATAAAGTTGAGTCAAACAAAAGAGCGGGATTTCATGTTGTATAGTCTCCTCCATTATGTACCGATTTTACGGGTTTCCTAACAGAAATAAACACTAAATAAGTTCATAACATATAAAGATTCACTCACCGATTATTTACACACACTTATTAAACACAGTCTATTTAAAAATCCAGAATTAATTGAGAAAAATACATTTTCACTCGGGACAGCGTACACACGATACACGATTATAGTATAGTTGTATACAAAACTGTAGCAGTTGGTTGTGGTTGAGTCAGACGAAGATGAAACGGAACTTTGAATCTGGCTCTCTAATTGGTTCCAAGTAGTCACGTGTTCTCGCGCGCGATCCTGATTGGTCGACGAATTTGACCGGCCGATGCCGAGCAGCAAATATGTCGGATTCACAGGCACATGGCAAAATACCAGTAGATGTGGAATTTAACCTTATTCTTTTTAAAAGTGTTTTTCACTAGAAATAATGTTTTATTGTTTCTCTGGCAATATGGAAGTTCATATTTTTTGGGTTTATAAGGCGTAATAGGTAAATACTCTTTCTCGTGAACGTGACAAAGTTGATGCAATATTATTTTCTTTGCCGGCGTCCCATGAACTGTCGAGCGGGAAGGGAAGGCGCCGGATATTTTGAAAATTCGATTCAGGAAATATGGTAGGGCATGTCCTTCAAGAACAATAAAGTAACATTAAATTGACAATTAAATAACTTTTATTCTATAAAATACAATGAACTTAAAGAAAGAGAAACGGTAAAAACACAAATTTAATATAAAATATTTATTGTTGGAAGGAACCATTTTCAGTAATACAAGGGGGAGTCTGGTAGTCTGATGTTTGTATAAAGTAATAATTTTTTTTAAGTTAACTATTCTGCCAAAGTTTTTTGAGTTTTGTAGAAAGATATTTAATTTAAAAATCCTGTATACCACCAGCATCAGTTTTGTTTTATCCATTTTATAACTATGAAGGCAACCGTTTTAACATAAAAATTTCATTCAATAAATTTTTTCATATTATTGTAGCGACATCTATGAAAGTACGGTTGAACCTGACAATGCGGCTCGAAGGACCAGAATGTGCAAGCTGTGCTTGAAGATAAGGCTTTGGCACGGTTAGAATAAGTGAGTTTTGGAAGGACAATCCATATTGACATCGATGGAGAATGCACTCATAAATCGCGGTTTGATTGAAAAAAAAAAGTTATCTTTATAAAAGTTTCTAAAATGTGTGTTAATCATTAACGAAACATCGACCAAACTTTTCTGTTGATTGATAAGCAACCTATGTAAAGAAAATCAATTAAAACGGCTCGCGCACGTTGGCTATAGGTGTATGCTTTCTCATTCACACCACTTCGTATGTCCCATCTCAGTTACACCTATTACCGTGAACATGTATCTATCTCTATCGCTCTACGAGACTAACATTGCTATTAAATTTTTACCACATCTCGGTTATAATTTTTTGTGAATATAGAGGTAAACAATAATTTTGATAATATTTTATACCGGGTGTCCTAAAGATACTGACCCAAATGAAACAGTTTAGATCAGATCTCATAATTTTGAACATACAGTTTTTTACACACCGCACAAAAATTATCGCATCACCAATGCTTTTATATATTTTGGCTACAGTAAGTATTCCCTGAATGGGCATTCTTCAACTGAAAAACTCGAGTCAAAAAACATGTCGTTTCTTCTTCCCTTAGGTTCTTATTTACTTTTTTCGGGAAAATGCGGATAGGCATACATTCCACTTTGCAATTATGCTGTTCATTTCTGTGTTTTCTGCTTTGATAGATGCGATAATTTTTGTGCGGTGTATATTACACAAGGGTCCGATCTTGATCAGCAACAAGTTTACAAGTATTTAAATGTTTTTTTAATTTGAGAAAACTATTGATCAAAATTCGATCAAAAGGCAAGAGATGTAAAAGTTACATCACTGAGTAGAGAAGTAAAAAAAAATCTAATTTCACCAGTGGCGTGACAGTGAAAAAATGAATTATGTCTGTAAATTTTCAATCGCCTGGAACTCCACTAACACCACAAAGAAAAGGGCGGCTTGGAAGAAGTTTTGCAACGAAATCTCCAGTACCTACGTCGACGGCGTCGAGACTCAAAAAGGTTCTTTCAAAAGATCCCGCCATGCAGCATGCAGCCAGGAAGTCTGAGGAAAGGCGATGGTAAATACACCATCATTTCTGATTACACGGCAAAATTATTACTGGAAACTCACTTCCCGAATTAACATTAGCGACAACACTGCGATGACCCAAGGTAATCCTAGAGGCGCATACGCAGAGACCCTATCAGAGGAAACTGGAATGTCGCAAACTCTTATGTATTTTGTATTATATGAGTTATCACCTGGATAACCGGTTGTTGTAATAATCGTCAATTTGATAGACAGATGTAGATCATTATTATTATAAAAAGTCAAATATAATCTATCATCAAGAATATAGTAATTTATTGAAACATCTCAATTTGGCGACGAGGATTAACTGAGAAAAAACCAGAGTACTTATCCCAGAATAAGAAAATCATATAGGTACCAATGAATTTGTTGAAATTATGTCAGAAGAACTAGCCCCTTTAATAACAGCTCTTAGTGGATTAGTTCAATCTCTCCAACAACAACAGGCAAGTACTTCAAATGATGTTGAACAAGTATTACAAACTCAAAATATTAACTTCGAATATTTTGATGAAAATTGTAAAGATTTTGACACATACTGTCAAAGGCTAGAAAATTATTTTAAAATTAAAGGATTAACTAATGAAGATATTGAAACTAGTGAAGCTAAAGTGATGATTCTTATCAATTATTTAGGTAGTAAATACTATAAACTACTATCTAATGTAACATCACCCGACTTACCAGCTTCAAAGTCTTATAAAGAATTAATATTGTTATTGAAGGAACATTTGACTCCAAAGAAAAAAATATTGACTGAACAGCATAAATTTTTATCAAGATTGCAATCTCCAGATGAGTCAATTTCATCTTATATGGCTTCATTGAAGGAGCTAATAAAATCATGTAATTTCAACAGTCAATGCAACGATAGTAGATGTACAAAATTTTTGATACATATTTTGTTACGTGCACAATTTATTCGTGGAATTAACGATACACGATACAGAAATTAGAGAAAAGATATTACAAGAAGGGGACCTTCCTTTTGAAAAAACACTAGAAATAGCATTATCTAAAGAAGCGTCGAAAGAACAAAATAGAAACGATTATAAAATAAATTTTGCTAATACAGTTAACAAAATAACAAAGAATAATTATAAAAAACGAGACTCATTAAATACACCAAAACATTCAAGGTCAAAATAATCGAATATTGATCTTCAACAGTTGGGATTGCATGATTTGTGTTTACATTGTGGTCGCAACAATCATAAAACGTCTGATTGTCGTATTATTAAAAAACAACAATGTCGAAACTGCCAAAAACAAGGACATATTTCCAAAGTAAGTATAAAAACATTATTAAAAAATAAAAAATGCTTCAATCAATGAAATTCAAGACGAAACTGATTCTGATTGTTCAGGTTTTTCAATAAATCAAATAATTGATGTATTCACAGAAACATCATCTTCTATTTATGAACCTAAAATGTATTTTGAACTAGATATTGATAATAAACCATTCAAGTTTGAATGTGATACAGGCAGTCCAGTTATTATTATCTCAAAAAAAGATTTTGAAATTTTGAAAATAGAAAAACCCCTGAAATCAACATACGTTTGTTTCAGATCATATACAAAACACATGTTCAAACCTCTTGGTATGGTTCAAGTATCTGTAAGATACAAAAATATTCAATTTATCGGTGATTTATATGTAGTTCCAGATTATGGAAATCCTATTATGGGCAGGAGATGGCTGCGCGCTCTTAAAATAGATATGAATGATGTTTCTAACATACAATTTTTAAGACAAGTTATTATAGATGAAATTGTTGCTAAATACGATGGCGTTTTTCAACCTGTAGTGGGAAAAATACCCAATTTAGAATAATCATTACATTTTAATATACCAAGCCTATATTTATCAAACCACGTCGAATACCATAGGTACGCGCTGGAAAAAGAAGTTGACAAAGAACTAGACTCCTTAGAAGCCCAAGAAATTATCGAGAAGATAGATCACTCAGAGTGGGGTACACCCCTAGTTATTGTCCCCAAAGCTAACGGAAAAGTAAGATTATGTGCCGATTATAAAGTTACGATAAATCAACAATTGGAAGAAAATCATTATCCAACTCCTAGAATTGAAGATCTTTTCAATAAAATGAAGAATGGCGAATATTTTTGTACATTGGATGTTTTTAAACCATATCTACATATTGACGTAGATGAAAAAAGTGCAAAAGCGCAAGCTATCTCAACTCATTGTGGAACGTATTTGCCAAAACGATTGTTCTTTGGTATCAAAACTGCTCCAAATATATTTCACAAAATTATTGATGAAATTATACAAGATCTGGATGGTACCATTGCATATTTTGATGATATACTAGTCCAAGTATCCACATTAGAAGAATGTAAATTTCGATTAATAAAAGTAATTGAGAAACTACAAAAATACAATATGCATTTGAATAAAGATAAATGTAAATTTTTTGAAGAAAAAATTAAATATTTAGGACATATAATTAGTGAAAACGGCCTGCAAAAATCAGATGACAAAATTAAAGCTATTTTAGAAGCACCACAACCTTAAACTATGGAAGAAGTTCAGCAGTTTTTAGGTATGATTAATGTATTATTCAAAATTCATTCCCAATACATCTACAATATTATATATATCCATTAAAAAGATGTAAAATTTCAATGAACGAAACAACGTGAAAAATCCTTTAAAGAAGCTAAAAATCAAATAGCTAGTGAGAGAATTCTAATACCGTTTTCCCCAGATTTGCCTATAATTCTTGCCACTGATGCCAGTCCGTTTGGGCTGAGTGCAGTTTTATCTCATCGTCTTCCTGGCGAAGAAGAAAGACCAGTGGCTTTTATATCAAGATCATTAACAAAATCTGGAAGTGACTATAGTCAATTAGATAGAGAAGCAACTGCGATTTATTGGGCTTTCAAAAAAATGTACCGGGAAAAAGTTTACATTAGTCGTAGATAACAAACCCCTCATGACAATATTCAATCCTTCAAAACAGCTTCCAGTATTATCTGCAACGAGATTACTTATATATGCACAATTTTTGTCTGGTTTCAATTATACTATTGAATACAAGAAGTCTCAAGAACATAAAAATGTTGACTATCTATCAAGAAATCCTTTACCATTAAAAGAACAAGAC